TTAAAGAGACTGAGAGAGTTAAAGAGAAAGAGACATGGAGGAGAGAGAGAGAGAGAGAGAGAGAGAGAGAGAGAGAGAGAGAGAGAGAGGGAGGGAGAGAGAGGGGGGAGAGAAAGGGGAAGGAAGAAAGAGAAAGAGACAGACTGGACACAAGGATAGATTGACAAACTGACAGACAGACAGATATCCAAAAAAAGGGAGGGTAAGAGAGGGTCAACAGGGAGGGAGAACGAGAGAAACAGATGGGAAGTAGAAGAGAGAGGGAATGAGAGAAGGATCACACACACAAAGTCGAGGCGGGGGATGACAACAATATCTAGAGGAACAGAGCGTGGAGAGGGGCAGAGGTTGAGAGACAGAGAGGGTCAGAGAGAGACAGAAGCAGAGGGACAGAGAGAGAGAGAGAGAGAGAGAGAGAGAGAGAGAGAGAGAGAGAGAGAGAGAGAGAGAGAGAGAGAGGGGGGAGAGAGTAGAAAGTTTATTTCAGTATGAAGAGAAAATCGACATTTGCTATTACGCCATATTGATTATTGTCACCCTAAAGGTGCGGTAATCCTTTCTATCGAACGTGAGTGAGTGAGTTAATGTGGGCGGGAGGGGGAATAATAACCCTTATTTCACCCCATTACGCATATTTTAGAAGCGAGGTACTGTTGAGCAGCGGTCATCATATTAGAGCAATATGCGATGTTGAATGGAGGGGAAAGAACTGTCAATGCCTCATTCTTTAGTTGTAACTATTTTCACCGGTGAAGTGGGAGTAAGCGCCCATTTTTAGAGCGCTGTTTTATGCTGATTGGTGATATTCTTTTATTTTCACTGTTCTTCATGCAAATAAGACATGACGGAAGTACTCATCGCTAAAATTTCATACGTTTCCCGGGTTTCATCTTTTCTTTAGTTTTAATTTTGTCTGGTTTGTTTTGCTTGAGTAAAAAGAAGCACATAGACACAATAATTTTCATTTAGTCTTTGGAAAAAGTAGGTTGGACAGACAGACTGAAAGAATCGACAGAGGAAAAGTAAAGAAGTAGGGCCTACTAGTGGCGCCCTTCGACAAAGCGCAATTTCTATTTGGCTATTTCATGTGTCGAGACAGTGCAATAGCAGGAATTTCAAGATGAGTCAGTAACTACAAAGTAACTGAAATGTTTAACTAGCGTATGCACGTCGCTATACTATTTTAATCAATATGAGGCTCGAAAGCAATTCAAATACATTTTTATATGTCTGTGATACGTTGTTAATACAGACAATAAGCGGTCCCCGGGCATGTAAGTGACACGTTTGTTGTAACCGATATTTTGTCAGGGAATGGCCATAGTTTTGATTGATTAGGGTAAATCTATCACTATAAAATTACGATTAAGATTAAATAACAAAAGTGATTTATGTTTGTATTCAATGTCACACTTATCAAAAGGAACATTCTCCTCGTGGAGCTTTAGAGACTAAGAAGTACATTCTCGGGATCCTTAAGTGCTGGGAAAAACAAAACAGGTAAAAAAAAAACGCCAAAGAGTAAAGAATTTAGTGCAAATTAGGCTCCCTCTTACCACACGCCCGGGAATGTCAGGGAAGATTAGAGCAGGGGCTCTGTGTAACTCCTTGGGTGCAAAACTACATTAACCCTATCCGTACGTCGTGTTTTACTATCGTATCCATACGACGTGGGGAACTCTGTGCCACCACTTTCCAAACAGGAAATTTACTCGTTAATCCGATCCGTACGCTTTGCATAGCTGTCCGTCAAAATGATTTTTTTGAGAAATACTGAAAGTTTCAAAGAGGTCTTCGCACTAGAAATATTGTAGAATATAAAGAATACAACCCCGACGCGGCTACTTAGCGAACATATTTTTTAAACTCGTTTTCTCACATAGAGCACTAGGTACTTACAGATTAGAACGTATGGTCACTTAATTATCTTTCTTTTGATTGTATAAATTTATACTCCTTTGCTTTCGCTCGGTCGCCTCTGTCTGACTGCCTTGCTCTTTCTCAGTACTAAATCTACGTTGTCAAGTCGATGTGTTTCTCTTTATTCAAACTGTAGGGACCTACTAAAATGTCTCGGATACGTTACAATCTAAAAGTAATATTTCAAAGGGTACTGGTGAAAGGATGTCACTTCCTGACTCTCCGGGGAATGGGAGTCGTGTGAAATCTTCTCAAATTAGATGCCCGTAATAAATAACTCTGTACTTTTCCTATAGCAGATAGTGGAAATTTGAGGCCATCACATAATCAAAGTTAAAAGATGCACCAAAATAAAATCATAATAATAATTCTTTTCACCCGACAGAAAATGATGGATATTGGATGAAATAAGGAGTGTCTTGGTTACCATGGCAACGTACAGTAAACTTCAACATAGTATCTTCTTTGCTTGTCATGTTGCTCACAGGCCTCATCAGTTCATAGACCCATACTCTTTCAGAAATTCTGGATAGATTTTGTTATGCGTCTATTTTGAAAGTGAACCGCGTGGGTACTTGGGAGGGGAAAACGTGTGTGTGTGTGGGGGGGGGGGGCTAAGGGGAGGAGGGTAACAAGTAAAAGGTACAGCTCTAATCAGAATCTTGGAAACGGGGGCTGAAGCCTTTGAAAAATAAATGCTACTGATGTAAAAGCGTGAAAAGTGGCTCTAATCTATAACCTCTAAATACATTAGATGCAATTTCAGTTCCCTGAAGACCGAGGTGCTATTTTAGCATATTAAGGTTTTCATTTTCATGTTTCATGCTGTCATCGTCATTCCTTCCTACTTTTACATATCTCTCAAACTTACTGAACACCCCCATTGTGCCATTAGACTATGTGGTCGTTTTTATATTCTCACTGCTTTCTCGCCCCTCTTCCCTGCTCCTTTTTTTCTACTTCCCCCATTCCCCCCCCCTCTCTCTCTCTCTCTCTCTCTCTCTCTCTCTCTCTCTCTCTCTCTCTCTCTCTCTCTCTCTCTCTTCTTTTCTTTTCTTTCTTTTTTTCTCTCAGTCGATCCCACACTCTTTCTTTTTGCTCTTTCTCTCTCTCTGTGTCTCTGTATTTCTCTATCTTGTCATTCTCTCTTTCTCTTTAAGCTTTCTGCTTCTTTCTTCCTATCTCTCTCTCCCCTCTCTCTCTCTCTCTCTCTCTCTCTCTCTCTCTCTCTCTCTCTCTCTCTTTCTTTCTTCCTTTCTTTCTTTGTTTATATCAGTCGATCCCACACTCTTCCTTTTTATTCTCTCTCTCTCTGTTTCTGTATTTCTCTATCTTGTCATTCTCTCTTTCTATTTAAGCTTCCTCCTTCTTTCTTCCTTTCTCTCTCTCTCTCCCTCCCTCCCTCTTTCTCTCTATCTCTCTTTCTCTCTCTCTCTCTCTCTCTCTCTCTCTCTCTCTCTCTCTCTCTCTATCTCTCTCTCTCTGTCTTTCTCCATCTCTGAGTCAGGACTGGTATATGTAATATCACACCGTTTTAATCATTCTTTTTCTAACTACGTGGAAAGAGCATACAGATGTGCAGTTTTGCTTGGATTCAGATAAATTGGAGGTTAAAAAAATTCTGGATTCTCAACAATTTTCCCTAAACCAATCTAACGCTTAATTTCTCACATAATACGTGCAGTCCAAAAGAAGATGAAAATACTTCTAAACTTGCAGCTAAAGCAAAGGTGGGCTGAACATTAAAGTGAAAAAGGGAAGTCGTAATATCAAGGGATGAAAGGTCCCAAAGAGAAAAAAGGAAATGCACGACTTTATCTTGCTTGGTTAACAAATGAAAGATATGTAAATCAGCATAGTAGAAAAGGGAAACAGAGAAAGAGGGAATAAAAAGAAAATGATCATGATTATAATATGGCAAACTGGATCCTCGATGCGCTGTAAACGTGGACATTACCTGATTTCTTCTGACGGAGAAGACAAAGACACATTATCTAGTTGTTTCTCTCTTTATGACGCTGACTGAGTCTCAAAACAAAGAACAAGACAATTGTCACATAGATTGCAATACTCATGAAATTGTTTTTACAAATCAAGTTGTCTGATAGATTGCCAAAGACGTCTTTCATCAGTTGGCCTATGTCATCGATTTTTAATTGGAGTGTGGGGTATAAAAATAAGACTACTTTAGTTTCTTTGAAGGCTAAAATAAATAGCAATAGATAGAAAAGGGAATCAGACAATAGTTCTCTCATTCTACTTTGTGGGTAGAACGGATGAGTGCTGCCTTTTCCTAGTCCATTGTGTCACGAGCTTGGCAACAAACTGTTCTTTTGTTTGCTTGTTTGTGGGGGGGGGGAGGAGGGGGTGGGGTGGACAGGTGTTATCAAGATGTGGGTGGAGTCATTTGTATCGTAAGTCTACACTATCCAATTGTGGAATCCACAAGGAAAACGTAAGAAAGGAAGACCAAAGATGACATGGAGGCGAGCGATACATGCGGAAATGGAAAAGACGGTGACATCATGGAAACAGCTAGAAAAAGATGCACAGGATAGGCTTCGCTGCTGAAGAAATGTTGTTGGTGGCCTATGCTCCACTGGGAGTTGAAATGGGCAAGAGAGAGAGAGAGAGAGAGAGAGAGAGAGAGAGAGAGAGAGAGAGAGAGAGAGAGATCCGATAAGTCAGGGGCCAACTCGGGCCAAGAAGCACTTTTTCACAGAGAGACACGTTTCTTACAATAATAGAGCAAAAACGTCACCCTTTACATTGGGCCTCGAGCATTCCGCGTGTTCTGATAGAAGCCTTTTCTAAACAGCTGGAAATGCTACTCATGATCTGATGACATTGAGCCTAGCCTTCAGCATTACTGCTCCGAGACACCTTTACGTACCGATGACAAACTCAGCCAACCCTAAAGTCAGAGACTGCTCTCACTTTGACAGTCAGTACAGACGCTTTTCACCCTATTTATGTTTTTTCTAGGCAAAACCCGAACACCCCCCCCCCCCACCCCCACCCCAACACTCACCACGACCCATTTACTGCTTAATTTTGTTTTAAAAGCAAAACGTTCTTACCTGTAGTAGATGTGTTCACAATAAACGTATTTCCAGTGATGCTTAGGTTGTTCTTTTTGTTGTCATCAGTCCTGCGAAAGAAGCGTTAACGTTGCGTTAATATTCACATCCATTATGTCATTACACAGGAGTTCTAACCAATAAAGCAACATATTTTCAAAACGAACGCATCGCCACTCTCTACTAACACTACATTTCGCGGACAATAAAGTAATGTCCAGGTTTTCTGTCTGCGCACACGTCACTGCCCGCGCGTAGATCCACAGTTGAGACAGCTGGTCACGCATTGTTCATGGCAGTCTCACTATTCCTGTCTAGCTAGTGGCAAAAAGGAAGTCACTGGTCAGTTGTCGTCCTAATTTACGTCCGCTGGAGTGACGAGTCTCCAGATCAGACATGTTTATTTAACTCTTTACAGACGTAAAGCACACATATCCGACTGGCAGCTGCAGCAGAACAAAGGCAATGATGGGGCACATTTCGGACCATCATACACAAATCAGAAACTTGAAATTGCATTTCTTTTTAGAATGCACTTTGTTGTCTGCCTTTTTAAGTTACAGATAAAAAATACAGGCTTGATCAATCTGAAGAAATTACAAAGTTATGTTTCTTTGTTTTATACTGCCCAGAAAAACAGCGCGTTCTCAAGCATACTCCCATGGTTTTCGAAGGACCAGAATGCGTGTCCTCAATGAGTTAAAGATTCTAAAAAGTGCCCAGAGGGTGAAGGATGTCAGTAACCGTAACGGCTATTGTGGGAGGGCAATCGATAGGAAATAGGTACACCAACGCGCCGGTCACACTTGTAACAATGGATGTCCCTTGCGTACTCTCCGCTCTGGTTAGCCTAGTATTACTGCTTTCTCCAGTATCCGGGAGAACCTTAGTAATCGGCTCATAAGGATACACAGCGGTGATAAAATACAGTGCAACCTCTCTATAACGATATCGCCGGGACCAGAAAAATATCGTTATAATAGAGAGTTGTCGTTATAGAGAGGAAACCAAAAGTTACTAGTGATATTTAAGGAAAAAGACGGGACCTTGTCACCATGTCGTTATGCAGAGGATGTAGTTATATTAAAGGTCTTTATAGGCAGCACTGAAGCTCTTTCGGTTGATACCTTTGGTTCATTCTATCGGTCCATGTGTTCTTTTTGTATATTTGTTTTTTTCTGGGGAGGGGGTGTAAACTTCGCTTAGCACTCAAAGGCTCCAAGGCTCGAATCAAAGGGAAGTCCTAATTATCGTTCTTGTCGGTCCCAGGAAGGAAGATGAGGTGGGGAGCAAGTAGTTTTTAAAAAAGGGCAGAAGGGGGGTGGGAGTTGTTCTACCTATGAAATGACCTATCATACCTCTAGACAGGTGGTAAACGTCATCTACACTTTTTTAAAGATTCCTTTTGACCCTCAAGTCATCCCCAACGTCAGATGTCAACAAGACTATAAAAAGGAGCAAAAGGAGAACAAAGATTTTTTTCCTCTTCGTAGCGTTAAAGTAACAGACGCTTCTAAATGAGAGACATTAAAATATGTGCCTACCTTAAGGGATCTGTAGAGATTGCGGTAAATAGTTTTAAAAACACATAACCCCTCTCTGGCCCACCTCTCTCTCTCTCTCTCTCTCTCTCTCTCTCT